AAGGCTCATCAGAGACACAAGGTCTACTTAAAGGACCTGTGGTGTGGCGTATCACCCACTGAGTGGAGCATGCATACACACTAGGACCAGGCTTAGAGGCAGGTTTTCAAAAAGTTCTCCGGATTGTCCCACAATGCCCAACAGAAGCTTTGTACTTCACACCTGGCTGCAGGGGCAGAGGGATGAACTAAGGAATCGACCATCTCTCTTTGTCCCTCATTATGAACATAAGAAGAAACAGAGGCTTGGAGAAGTTGAGCAACTCATACAGTTCACCTGGAAACTGGATATAAATCCAGGCACTTTGACTGGAGAGAGGCTCGCTTCAGCACTGCATTCTCCCCTGATCACAGAAGGAAAGTCTCCTTCCAGCTGTGCCCTGTAAGTCTGATCCTTAATCAGTGAAGCAGCCCTAGCCTGGATACAGCCATCCTTCATTCATTTTTCAGACCTCCGGGAGGGCAGTCCTTGTTCTGTCTAGTTCTGGGTCCTGGGATACTGAGAGGAATCAGCAGTGGATCTCCAGGACCCCATTGTCTGGGGAGGAAAACAATCACAAGTACAGTACTGGGGAGAAGTGCTCAGATAGAAAGTGCCTAGGATGTTTGGAAACCACTGAAGGGTTATGTTTTAGTAGGATTCATAAATCCATGTTCTCCATTTAAGAAACAGTTCCTAAGAGTCTCTCCAGGGCAGCTCAAAGAAGATTCTACACCTGAAGAACTGACTCGGCCTCTTCCCTACCATCTACATGACCTTCACATTATATTATCACCTTGAGCCTGTGGTTCCTTCTCTCTAAAATGAGGATGATGACAACAGCCACCTCATAGGGCAAGGAGGGCTCAGTGATATATTTCTTGTGAAGTGTTTAGCACAATACCTGGCCCTTAATCCTTGCTGCGATTTATCATCTGTTTAATGTAGATGTGACTAATACCCACCCTCATTCCTGGCACAAGAGCACAAATCCGTCCTCAGTAGAAGGAAATTCTGCCCAGAACTTTCTAAACAAAGCTAACAAAGCTAAGTCATCATCCTTTCCCAGAGCTCGAGAGCACAAATCCATCCCCGGTAGAAGGAAGTTCTGCCCAGGTGCCACAAAGCAGAGTATTTGTAAAGCGGGGCAAGACTGGCTTCCAGAGACTGCACTGGTGGTAAACAAGAGCAGGCAAGAGCTAATAAAATTTCAAATTAGCCATGACTTTTCACAGCCCTTCAATTGTGCTAGCTGATTTAATGGTCAACGTCCCTGCTCACTGGGATTGAATAATGGAGCATTTCTGCAGAGTTATGGATGCAGCAGCTGAATCTGTCGTGCTAACATCAATAGCAGAATGCAAATAACCCTCCGTTTGGGCTGTAATTATGTGTTTAAGAAACGTCTGTCAGGGGCAGAGTGAGGATATATGATGGGGCCTGCAACTGCAGGAGAGGACAGGTGCTTTGCTAGGCAGGTGTGTCTGGGGCTGGAACGGGAGCTACAGTTAAGACCCAGACAATGCTGGGGTGAAGGAGGCCTTGCTGCATATCTCAGCATGAACCTGACAGATGAGATCAGGATGAGCTCAGGATGAATGGCCCTCCGCTGGTAAGCCATGTTTTAAGTTCAGGAGCTGGAAAGGAAAGTACCCCTTAGTAAGCATTTATTGTGTCAGCTGCTATCTTTCAGATACTGTGCTGGATTTGGGGACATAGTACTATACAGATATTCCTCCTTTAATACCTACATGTTTAATGACTGTTTGGACTTACAACCTGTCTTTTTTTGTACAGTTCTGTACATCTTGCTGATAGAGCCTCAGTGTCTCTTTTGTACAGTACACCTGGCTTATACAGTACTGTGATTTTTTGTGATTTTTGTATTGTATAACATAGTACTGTAGTTTTATGTTCTGTTATACATTATAGCTCTGCATGTAAGAATTATGCAAATAAAAGCTAAGTCATCAAGTTAGAGTTTCCTTTGACCAAGTCTTTGTTCGGAATATTGTAATGTGCATTCTATATACAGTTCCTCATTTAGCCACCAGTTCATTTAGTGACCTAGTCTCAGGAGTATGCCTTGGTCACTAAATGAGAAGTGCCTGTACCCTGTTGTATTTTAGGCACATTCACTAAACATGAAAAGACAAATGTCTTTGAAATATGCATTATTTCTATAATGTCTGATACTGGGGGAAAATAAGCTATCTGACATTTTTTGGATATTGAGGCAAAACAAGAAGGTTGCTTGTTTTTCCTCAATATCCAAAAATACATATGATTTGCCTGGCTGGATGCAGAAGGGAGTGATGTGGAACACGGTCTGATGAGACCTGTTGATCACATATCATGCAGGCAGAGCAGCTGGGTAAAGGGTCAGAAAAATTTGTCAGTGCACTCTTCATTGGTCTCACTTCTAGGGACTATTTGGTTCCAATATTTCCTCAGGTGATAATAAAACTGATGCATTTGGAGTTAAATAAATTCTCAGATATAAACAAACTCTTTAAAAGTGATGTCACCTTTGAAACTTTTTGATATGCAAAAATGATGTCTCCTATCACATTGTGGACCTATTTCCTCAAGGGTTATATACACACTTCCAAAGCACAGGAAACAGTTGAACAACTGACTGTCGTTGTTGTCTCTTGGCTTTGTGATTGTTTTGTTTGTTTACTTTTTGACTTACACTCTTGGTTACTAAGCTCCTTTACTACATACTTTATATGTCTTTCTATCCTCCAAGGTATTCACTGCAGAGATGGGCAGAGCAGGGGCTCCAGTAATGCCAATTTCACTGTCAAGGATATTTGGCGTTGCCAGTGATTTTTACAGAGTCAAGCAGGTTCATGGCTCTGTGATATATTAGTAGTAGTACTGTATTTTAGTCTCACTGGTCCCTTGCAGTGACCTGCAGAACTTCCTTCATTAATGAGCCAAAATTATCTGGGCATGGTGGCACAGGCCTGTAATCCCTGTACTCAGGAGGCTGAAGTAGGAGGCTCACTGCAAGTTCAAGGCTAGCCTGGGCTACAAAGCGAGACCTCTAATAATAATAACAGTTAATAATAAGCCAAAATTACACAGTTTCCTTTGACTGCTTCTTTGTTCTGAATATTGAAATGGACATACCATGTACAGTTCCTCATTCAGTGACCAATTCATGTAATGACCTAGTCGCAGAAACAGACCTCACTAAATAGGGGTGTCTGTACTGTTTTTTATTGTATAGCAAATAACTTATATGATGCTTTTATTATCTCCATTAAGAGATGGAGGAAACAGAGGTCAGAGAGTTTAAGTCCCACAGTCGTTAAGTTTCAGGTCCCAGATTTCATGGGCCTCGTGTGGAAATGGGAAAGAAAGACAAGAGATTTTTATCCTTAACTTACTTAATGAGAAGATGGGGTCCTTGGGAAGCTAAGTAGCTTGCCTGAGCCACACAGCTAGTGAGGACTGGCCAGCCTGACCAGTTCATATGCGATACTCTGGTGGTAGCACTTACACTGTGAGCTCATGAAGACAGAGGTGGGTTGGGTATAGCTGCGTTACTCCCCTATTATTGATGAGGAAAGCAGGGCTCGGACACATTCAGTATAAGAGCTAGTCCATGGTCAACGTCACAAGCAGCACTGGGCCTTGAACTTCAGTCTCTGGGCCTCATGATCCTTGCACACTGCTTATGGGACTAACTGAAGATAGGGCTCTCTGGCTTTTATGGACTGGCATTTGGTTTCATCTCCTGCTTTAACTATTTCATTCATTTCTCTCCTATTTATGTAACAGTCATGTTTTGAACATGTCTAATAAGTGCTAAGAGTACATCAGAGATTATTAGAACCGACCTATGACCAGGGTGGTAGGGAAAGTTGCCCAATGTCACACAGCAAAAAGTGGTAAAGCCAGAATTTGGACTCAGTAAAAAAATATTGGTCATCAGACTATTCTCTGCCTACAAAACACGCAGAATGCAGCCCTGGCTTTTCCTGTCCCCTGCTGCGGCCACTGTCCCTTGACAGCTCGGTTTTTTGTTTTTTTGTTTTCACCTGTCTTAAACTGTTCTTTGGATGTCTGAAAAAGTACTTTGGGAGGATGTGACCCAAATTCTGTGAGCTGATAGAATATCTTTAAGCTTTGGGAAGATGAGAGAGCTGTGCTGCAATTTTCAGACCTGAAGAAATTCATCCATGTGGTACAGATTATTCTTTGCAAAATAGCAACATACAGAGAGCAGAGCTGGGCCTTCAAAGGGCTGAGGACTGTGCCTCAGACTATGTCACTACACGCCGTGGGGGCGATGCGAGAGTTACAGCTGTCACCAGCATTGCTTCTTCCTCTCCCAAAGCCAGGCAGTCACCAGGTCTTAGAGCTTTCTCCCCTAAATGTCTCTCAAAACGATCTACTTCTCTGAGTCTCTGCTGTTCTACCTCGCCTATGCTGCCTTTATTCTTTACCTGTGCATCCTCAGGGCCACTCACCCTCCCCACTCCACCTATCACCTCACCCTAGTTTCTCTTCGGTTTCAACTGAAGTGCACATCAAATGAAGTTATCCCATGTTTTGAACCTTCGGTGGCTCCCACAGTTCTGAGGATGAAACATAAACTCCCTAACCTGCCCTAGAGGGCCCACACAGTCTGCTTCTGCCCTCCCACATTCTCTTCTTGGGCCATTCCCCTCGCCTTCTAAACATCAGCATCTGAATTTAGCAGTTCAAGTGTTTGTGTGATCCTCATCTCTGCGCCTTCATCTGTACCATCCCTGCCATGTCTTTGAAAGAAAAAATAAAAAACAGACACTGCACACTCTTTTGTCTGTCTCTTCTGTCACACTGGTAGACTAGGATCAGACCTAAAGAACCTGGACCTTCTTGGTACCCAGAAAAGGCTTTGGCTTATATGAGCACATAATGTTTTCAGTGAGTGGAAAATGAAGAAGGACTAGATGAAGGTGTTGTATATGAACATGACTAGCAGAACATAGCTGTATAAACCACATGCTCTGTTTTCCCTCCAGATGGCTTGGTGGACTGCATGGACCCTGACTGCTGCCTGCAGCCCCTCTGCCATATCAACTCGTTGTGCCTGGGCTCCCCCGACCCTCTGGACATCATCCAAGAGACAAAGACCCCTGTGTCCCAGCAGAACCTGCACTCCTTCTATGACCGCATCAAGTTCCTTGTGGGCAGGGACAGCACACACATCATCCCCGGGGAGAATCCCTTTGATGGAGGGTGAGTCCATGGGGCCGGAGCTCTTAGTGAGAACTGAGTACCCTCCGTGGCTATGCTTGGGTGGGAGGAGGCCAGGAGGCTGAACCTCAGGAATTTGTCATGGAATATCAGGGGGTCAGAGCAGCGGCCTGCATTAGCCACTTTATAAAACTGCTGTCCAAGGCACCCAGAATTTTTATGAGCATTGTTGCATTGTTCCTGCTGGGTGATAGATGGAGAGAGTGAAAAATCAAAGGGCCAAGGGGAATCTTGGATCAATACCCACTTTGCAGTCAGCTCTTCTTGATCCTGTGGTCTCCTGATGAGCCGAAGGGCTTTGGCGCTGTTCCTCCTCAGAGCTGACATCCAGAAGGCTTTGCTGTCTGGGGGTGGCAGGGTATCTGCTGTGTCCCAGCCCATGTGCCCACACAGTCTTTTTCCATTTGTGTCATTGGTGGGACAATTACTCACTAAAGTCTACTCCATGCCACATCTATTGCTAGGATTACAGAGAGGAGGACAGTCTCTGCCTTTTGGTCCCTCATGGTCCACTAGGAGACTTAGAGGGAAGCAGCGGATATTTACTGTGTGCTTGGGCAGAATCACACACCCAGAGACTCTATGACACAGAAGAGGAACACCTGGGTGGGGCAATACCAAAGTTTACAAACCGACTGACAAAGATGAAGAAAGCTATCTATGCTGGGGGTTGTTCAGGGAGAGTGAGAAGCTGGTGCAAAGGCCCCTGAGGCCAGATAGGGCACAGAAGCCAGCAAAAAAGAGCCTTCTGTCCTCTGCTCCTTGTGTGAGGACAGTGAACCAGAATAAGGGATCCAAGAGGAGGGATTTATAATTTCTTTTGAATGTCTTCCAATGTGGTGATGCCTCCTATGTGCATAGATTTCACTAAAACTCAACACAGTGAATTCAGCAGGCACAGACTATGTGCCTTCTACAGTAAGGACTTGTGCCAGAGGGTCCCTGCCCTAAAGGGAGTGATGAGGGGGAAGAAGGGGACAGTCAGCAGGGCTTTATCACTGGGTATATGGAAAGAAGGGTCTCCCGCCTGGACACTGGATAGGTGGTAGTGCTGTCACCAGAGTGGACCTGAGAGTGGGAACAGGTTGTAGGAGAGCAAGGTGATGACCTCCACCCTGAACAGGAGAAGGACAAGGCAGGGGCATTCCACAATAGGATACCCAAGAGGAAGTATCTGTGGTTTTAAAAAATCGTGGCATTCGCTCACACAGAGCGTAAGGCTGAAAGTTCCTGATTTGGGACACCATCAATGACAAGCACTGGCTGAATCCATGGGTACACAGATGCTTGTGCCAGAGGCATGTGTGAGGGGGGAGAACAGAGGCTGAAGACGGTGCCAGTGGCACCCCCTGTGAGGCAGCTCCTGTCCTCCCAGGTAGAACTGGGGACAACAGTATGTCTCTGTGCTGTAGCTGGTGGAGCCAGAGTGTAGACTCACAGGAATGTCAGCCCTGAGAGCCCACGTGCATCCCATTGCCCTAGCCCGTCCTTGCAAGGAGCATAGTGGCAGATGGTCACCTTGCTGGAGGCAAAGTGCACGTTAGAGTGCACACCCTTCTCCCTGTCCCAAGAATATGCAGAGCCTGGCAGGGAGAGTGGCTTCTCCACATTCACAAGGCCAATCCAGCGGTGGAGCCAAGAGCAGAAAAAGTGAGGAAAAGTCTATTCATTTATCTTGGCCAGAAACACTGCTTTTGTCTCTGGGTAGGAAGCTTCCTGCTATTTTATTCAATTGTGCAATTTTGTATGTATGCTTGTGGGCCTTCCCTTGGCATGAGCTCTTTTAATCAGCTAGAGATAAAAATAATATTCCTACCAAGGAAAGTGTTACTTGCTCAGCCCTTCATTACCGGGCCCATATGGTATCTGATGGGAGTGACGGCTCGTTGGCTGCCTGTGGCTGTTCTGCTCTGGGGGTGCCCTTCCGTGCCAGCCTGCTCCAAGGCAGCAGGGAAATATCCCCTGCGTGTCCTCCTGACCACTTACTGAGCCTGCTGCTTGAGTGCTGCAAGTCACTGCGGGACCTGCAGTGGGATCTCAGCAATGTCGCTCCAGCAGATGTGACTCGCCTCGAGGAAGGCACATGTGGACCAAGAAGCCCGTGCTGGGGAAATGGGCTCAGTAAGAGAAAATGAAGAGACCGTGGAGTCCAGGCCAATAAGGGCTTCAGGCCCTGGCTCTGCCACCCCTGGGTAAGTAGCTCTGGGCCTGTAAATGTCTGCCGATCCCTCCACAACTGAGTCCTCCGGGAAGGCTCTCTGCAGCTTACTTTTTTAGCCCTTGGTAATTGTTCAAGATATACATGCATATGAGTTGTCTTGAAGAATGAAGAAATGAAGGAAGGAAAGAAGAAAAGAAGGAAGAGATGGAAGTTGGGAAGAAAAGAGGGAGGGAGGATGGATAGATGGATACATTATTTTATTTAATTTTATGTTGAGGATTTAGAGATCAGAGAGTTTAAATCAGCTGCTGAAATCCACACTCTGGATGAGTAGCAGAAGCAGAAGTCAGCCCCCAGATCAGTTTTTATATGCCTGTCACCTTCCGTTAAATTACATACACTTTGAAAGCAGGGACCATTCATCTCTCCAAACCTATAATACTTCAGGCAGGACCCAAAACATACTACCTGCTCTACAAATGAATAGATAATGGAAGCTTCTGAAATGTTACTTTAAAAATTCTGTTTGCTAACATCAACCTGAATCATTGCATCACTGCTCCTTGCTGATCGAGAGTCCAGAGAAACAGCCATCTCTCATTGAGGATACCCAAACAGAGTCCGGGGTGAAGTACACCTACATAACTAGTCACAGATACACGAGACGTGGATGCCTTTCCTGTTAGATCACCTCTCGCTGTCCTGATCTGGGCCAGTGGAAGTGCTCTTGTGTGTAGCTGGGATAAAGTGAAGTCAGTTGCCATGTCTGAGCCATCGCTTCTTTTCTCGCACATATGGGAGTATGGTCTAATGAGGGCCCAGAGTTTCGATCCTGACTTTGCCTCCCACTAGCTGAGTGTGATCTTGGGGAAATGATTTAAATTTAACCTTTGTGCCTTCAGGTATGAATTGGTAATAATAGTAACTATTTCATAAAAGCCATAGGAAGGGCTAACTACAATAAAGTGCCCAAGCCAGGGCTTGGTACATAGCAAGTGATGAGTAAATGGAGCTTTCATAGTGGCAGCATGTCTTGAAGCCTCAGAATCAGACGGAAGAAATGAGGGGAGGAGGATGGATGGATACATTATCTATTTTATTTGGATCTGGATCCAAGACTGCTGCATCAACTTTCTGGCTGTGTCACTGTGAGAAAATTCCTTAACCTATCAGAGCTCCATCTCATTTCAAAGTTTGGGGTAACAAGGGCTTTGCCATGGGCTTGCCAGGGGAATTAAGTGGGGAAGGGGTGTTCACATAAAGTCTCCCCCTAGTACCTGCCACACAGAAATATGTTTACTAATTACATGGTGTGGTAGTGATTATATGAAAAAGCACTTCCAGCTCCACTTCCTTAATTGGAAGTCAAACTTGAGAGTAACCTGTCCTCCAGGGTAGTCTGCAGCCATCCAGAGAGGAGCCAGGATTAGATTGTTGAATCATTGTTTGAGGAAGGGAATCGGCCGCCTTCTTGCCAGCCGGCTGTCAGCCGGGATCCTTGTTAGAGAGGAATCCAGTGGCACTTCTCCAGAGAGCAGGAATTCTGATGGGCAGGCAGACCTGTCTCAGTTCCCAAGGGTAGCAGTAATAGGCCTGTGCCTGACAGACAAAACCCCATGTCCTCCTGCAACCCGCATGCTGTGCACAAGTTGGATAGTTTGTCTGAGGTTTCATTGAACAGTTCCAAGACACAGGCTGCCATCCAGAGACCCAGCAGCAGTACTGAGATTGGCAGGAAAGGCAGGCCAGTGAGGGTGAGCTCCTTCGTTCTGCAAATCGCTGGCTGTGTGTGTCAGGCCCAGGATGCCTAAAGGGTGAGGAGTTCAAGGCCAGGACAAAGTGGCTTAGACTCCCGTCACTGAGGCAGGCAAATAACCCACCCTGAGATCCCAGGCTGTCCTCACAGGTGACCCTGTGCCTAGGCCAGGAAGCAGGAGTCTCTCCAAGGGGACACATAATACCAGGAAGTACATGGGGGGTGCTTCTGCATGGTACCCCAGCTGGTGCCAGAGGCAGCAGAGCAGGGACCAGCTGGGGGAGAGCTGGACGGCAGCTCCCCAGGGTGTGAGAGCCCAGTCGAGTTCAGTGGGCTGACCACAGAGCTGACTCAGAACTGAGGCAGGAGTGCTGCCAGATGGACCGAGAGGCTTTGGAAGGCCAGCTTCAGGATCCTATCATATCCCCCTAGGTCCCATAGTTACATGCAATGCCTGACCCAGAGCACATGTTCTTACATGTTTGATGCAGACAGTAGCTCTGTCTGACATTCCACCACTGCTGTCCTTGTCGCCACATAAAGTGATAGAGTTGTAAATGATCTCAGCTGATCCAAAGTAGGAGGGACACAGTAGGCATGGAGACCACCGTCACCAGATGAGGTGGCTTGAATACCATCATTCTCTCATGGCCAGGGTGCCCAGGGCCACCTGCCTAGTGGAACACCTGTCCTGACCTGGAGTCGTAAACATGAGTGGGAGAGGAGAGGGCCCTTTGGTCTAAGGTGGAGGAAGGATCCCCAGCTGGATTATCTGTACCAAAGGGAGAGACAATCAGACACTGACTGTGGGGCTTGGGCTCCAATGGCTAGGAAAGAGAGGTACACCTGAGACTTCTAGAGAAATACTCACAGCAGAGCTGCTTCCCACTGCAGGCTGTGTCTGCTGTCCTGGAAAGGACTGGCCAAGTTGAAAGGCTAGACCTGGGCAAATGTCCTACAGTGCACAGCTACAGGTCGCTAATGCTGGGCCCCTACAGTGTGCAGTTACAGATCGCCAGTGCTGGGTAACATCGACATTCATAACAAAGGAGCCCTCGAATCCTC